TTTGAACTTCTATAATTCTCAACGTACAACTCTACAACTCTATAACCTACAAATCAACTAATCAACTACAACTTTACAATTCTACAACTCTACACCTTTACAACTTTTACAACAACTCTACTTCCAATGAGCAGTCGTGCCTTGAGACTACTCCCCTATCTCTCCCGCCTCCCCCATCCGCCTCCTCTACCTATGCCCCCCATGGCCCTCCATCTGCCATCTCTCCCCATCTACGCAACCCTCGCCAACTTGGCAAGTTCACAGTGTCAGCCCTCAATACCAAGCACACGCAACCTCCTGGTCACTCTCGACACCCCCGACACCCCAAATCTCCGCCGATCTCCCGCCAAATCCCCGGAAGTGGAGCCAAAAGGATGTTGAACGAGGATAACAAGGGCGAATACGCCCTCGGGACGAAGGCATCAAACTCATCTGGAAGAGCAAACTTCATGGACGTCATTTTCTTGGAGCGACTGTGCAGAAGCTTTAATAGAATACCATCTACCTAGCGGTGTGGCAAACAGTATCCAGGACCTCATAACTCCGTGATAAATCCTCCACAAAGTAGGTTTTCTCTTACCACGATGGAATGTCTTTTGCTGATGAGTTCAAGGTATAGAACACCCAAGCTAGAGCAGGCGGAAACGTTTCCACGTTTCTTATATGATCGTGGATGCAAAAATAAATATAAAGCCTAAATTCATTAGAAGAAAATCAGCTGATGGACAAGGGTCCATATCCAATAGTTTGCAGCAACTAGTGGAGACACTAGACATTTGGGGGATGTTTCGAACATATCAGTCCACTCATGTTGAACATCAAAATCAGGCAGAAGAAAATCCCGGATGAAGTGCTAGAAAGTCTCTATTAGTACTTGTAAAGTGGCTCGGGGTTCGGGCACACCATATGAGGCCAAAATACTATGCTTCATTACTCCGATAATTGTGAATATAAGCGGCTTATTCGAAGATATAAAAATTTTAGCCTGAAGAATCGGTACCGGGCAACTCTATCCACCTAAATGGCCATTTTGAATTGTGCTGCAACTCGGCGCAAAAAGGGTCTGTATCATTGAGGCTAAAAAGGATGACATAGACCTAGGTATGTGAAGGCAACAGCCACGCAATTGGATTTATGAAGACATTTTATACAAGGGACTGCCCAGGACCTGCTCGGCTGCGATGCAGTAGCTGATGCGGAATGTACTAGCCTCGTCTTTGGAATTGTTATGAACTATGTTCAGTGGAATTTCCGCAGCCTTCATGATCGTATTGGAGTGGATTATACCTCCCTTCATATTGTTAGCAAGTGGACAAAGAGGGCTTGAGGCTCTTTGCCGGGAACATATATGCACTCCTTGCTGATGAGCCTATAGAAGAGGAGACGTTGTAATTTTATTTATGTTATTTTATTGTTTTTTACCCCCACCCGGAGTGTCTTTTGTTGTCTCTTCTTGTCTACGGATTAGCTTTCGGGCCCGTCGCCAGTTGGCCGAATTGAGTCAGTATGTTTAATTTCCGAGTTAGCTTCTAAGTGCTGAACTCTGTGAAGTCTCTGATTTATTACCATCCTGCTCACAAAGCCTTCGAATTACTACTTGCCATTAACTCCCTCCAGAACCCACTACACATAGATATCTGAACTTTCGGCGAGTCGCAGTAGAGCTACCAGGCTACATATGCGCAATAGCCTGCTACTCTATGTTTTTTGGCAGCTAATCAGCATCCCCCTAGCTTTCCCACGAGCCAGGATTAAGGTGGAAGAATCAGGCCCGGGGGGCGTAAGCAGGGTCTTTACATGTGGGTAGTCGTCGATATTATACCCCATCATGGTCAACATACTGACGAATATGGGAAGTCAATCAGCTCTAGACCGAAAAGACAAACGGACAGTAACAGAGGCATGAGACTAGATACAGCTGTATTGACTGCCTTGCACCCAATCACCAACTACAAATGTAGGTACACAGTAGGAATTTTTCATTCTACTTCGTAATACCCACACATTTTATATATACTCAGATGGTCATGTATGCCTGGATAACCTAGGCCTAGAGTATGGAGACTAATATGTATACTAACAGGGACTCTTCGCTATCGAAGCTTCGCACTATATTTGTCCGGACTCGGCCTCGGCCATAACTCCTGAAGCAACCTTGAGGGATACATACAGAATACCTAGATAACCCAGGAGATCTGTGTTACGGAAGCACTCTGGAAAGATGCGTATGGAGGCGTCGAGATGTGGGTTGTGTGAATTACACTGACATGTGTCGCACAGCCACCCATTGGAAGACAGGTCGAATATTCCCATAGAACACGAACCTCTGGCCAATAGCCTTCAATCGATCTAAACAAGAAAAAACACCTGGAAGATACTCTCCGAGGATGATTGCTACAGTCTAGAGCTGACTAAAATCAAGAAACAAATATCCCGAACCTCCAATATTAGATGTTCCACCTAACCCCCGATTTTAGATTTTAAAAATAGAATATCCAAACTCTTCCTGAACTGGATTTCTTCCAATTCAGCTATTGCATCGAGTCTGAGACAGCAATCTGAGGGTAAACACCTAATATCCTTACTGGGGAGATATGCTGAGCAACGCGGTGGGAGAAGGAAGTTGTACGTTGCGTGTGCAATGAGCGATGTGATTAAGCTTGGTAGGTTCTCTTTAAGTTTGGGGAAAATTCCGTGGGAGAAAAGAAAACAGGGACGCTATGTGGATAAAAAGGTAACTTTTCCGAGTTTGGAGGCTCGGATTCAAGGAGGGCATTGGCCAGTCAGTGGGATATTCTCCCCAGAGAACAGAGCTTGTGGCTGCTCAACTTTGTTACCTCCACAGTGAAGCTAGGGCCTCCCAGTTGGGATGCGACCCCCTAGAGAAGAGGGCTGACTTCTAAGTGCCTCATCTCTCACGGTGAACAAATACTCACGAAGCCATAAAGCTGCTTGCTTAAGGAACTGGCGTTCAGGGTCGTCCTGTGGCTTGGATCTCAATGCTTCTTCCTTACCGGTTGTGGCTGATGCGCTGTCTGAGTTAAGACCAGCAATTGCAAGTTGAGTTGAGACAAGAGGATGAAGGTGAGGAAGAGGAACAGTCACACCGTCGTTGAGTGCTAGGGAACGATCAGTAACCCACCTTATGGTAAGGCTGGGACCGTGCAGGGGTCTCATGAAGAACAAACACAGATCTCCTATAAGACGACCACTAACCATTGTGAAGTTCATCGTTAATTGGGCTCTGGGCAGGTTGATTATCTGTATCAGCTATGTCTATACCTGGCGGCTCATTACATGCAGGATCTGTATGAAGAATGGAGATTTGGGTCGGAGGGATTGAGAGGGTGGAGTGAGAAGGGACCTGTGCCGCGTGGACATCAGCACCAGTACCAAGCTTGGACTGCAGGCTCAATAAAGCTCACCAAAATTGGAGCTCCAACACTGCCACCGACTGGAGCACGCCCTGTACATGCTTCCACCCCCCCTGAAGCAGAATTTCGGACGAGGGGTAACGGCACACCGGGATAACTATCTGCAATCACCCCCGAATCTGGTACACTACCAGGTCTTTTTGTTGGCACAAGCCCCTCGCAGTCACAAATATCCCCCTTCTCGTTTAGTGTCTTCCTTTTGAACGGATTCTCCACTTTCCCCTCCAAAATGGCCTCCCAAACCTCCTCCTGGAACATCTCAATCCTCTTCTTCCGCCTCATCCACCCCTGGTTCCGCGGCTCCTCCGGTTCCTCTCCCGTCGCCTCACCCACCGCAATCTCCACGACCTTCAGATACCAGTCTGCAAAGTCGATGTCCTGCATGATCTGCATAGTCGTCTTGACTATACCCAGCGTTCTTCGCTTCCGGGGCTGCTGCGCGGATAATAGTACGTAGTCCTGTGTTGAAGAATTCTCATCGCGAACATCGGCGTTCATCTCCGACTCTGCGAGTTTTGAAAAACGTGAGGGAGCGAGCTGGCTACATTGGTACTGGGCGATGGGTTGGTAGCGATCGATCTTATAGCGCTAAAAAAGAAACTACCGATGGAAAATCTTCTATACTCATCCAAGCTTTCGCTCTGCACAGAGTGGATCTTTGTAGGTATATATATATTCCATCACTACGCTTTTTTTTTCACACTTTGTTACCCCGGCTTTTTTGTTCCCCCCCTCAGCCCCCTCCCCACCTCCCAATCTGGGGGACGAGGGAAAGTCCTTCCATTCACTTTCCCGAATTCAAAAAACCAACAGCAACATTCAAGCAAAATAAAATCTTAAGCTTATATACTGTATATGAACATGAAAGGGACATGTGACAACGCTACTTACCCAGTTACATTAGTTTTTAGTGCAAGTCATATGCTAACCAAAATAGGTGAACAACATAAACCAACTTTTGGTTACTGTCATACCATGTGCAACTACCATCACTATCGCAAGCATGCCTTGGTCGTGGGGCTATGTTATTCGAGCCATGTTTTGCAGTTTGGTTTGTGATAGCATAGTAATACTGTGGTCTCTGGAGTTGTGGTCTCTGTCATATCCGCCATACTTGTGCTGTTTCAGATGCGGGGAATTGGAACTTGGAACTTTGGAACCATACGATTCGAACATACTTCACCACGGAAGTTGGCCAAGTGCCAAAGTGTGACACTTGAAAGCCTTGTGCATGAACAAACCTTTTGACGTGACAAACCCCTAGTAGCATGGAGGTCCCGTAAGCTTCTTCTTGTTGACGAAATAACATGCATCATGGCACCAGACCTTCTGGACCTTCTAGAGCAATACCAAAAGCCCAAAAAGTTAATTACGACCTTCGCATGTGCGTGCGGAACCACCCTTCACTGTACTGTACGCCAAGGGAGAGTTACCCTGAAAGCTTCCCAAAAAATGTATGCGTTCTTGTTTATGTAATCCGCTGCGGTCAGAAGCCAACATCGTGGCCTCGCTAATGGTAGTCCGAGGATTAGTTCAACATTTGGAAACGGAGGAGAAAAATAATAATTCCGTCGCCGGGAATTGAACCCGGGTTCTGAGAGGTCACAGTTCGGTTATCGAAATGAGAGTCTCAAATGCTAGCCACTACACCACGACGGATAGAATTCACCTTTTGTGACATCAGATTCTCATAAACGAGTCGTTGCAGTTTGCGACTTTATTTGACCAGCGGGTACTTAGTAAAAAGACTATAGTAGCAGACAAGCTGGAAGCGGGTACATTGCCTTAACCACAAGAAAACAGACTTCCCCAACCCAAGTCAACGGAAAAAGAGAACATGCTTAGCAATTACTTTCATTCCCCCCCATAGAAACGAACAAAGAGGAACAAAAAAGGAAATAATAAAACGAGGGGCTATGCTATATCCCGAGGATATGTGGCTAATTGGATCTCAACTACCCTACCAAAAGCCATGCCATTCATCTTTCACTACTCCAGCTCGAAATCATGATGCTGCCCATGATACATGTATGCATTCCGCCTCTTCATACGACTCTTGGCCTTCTTTCCTTCCGTGCGCTGCTTTTTGGTGCCCTTGTTGAAATTTCCCGTCTGCCTACCCTCCCCCTTCCCGTTATTCTTCTTCCTTGCCGGAAGTGGCTCTGGCTCTCGCCTGTAAATCTTGGGGAGCCCGAGATCTTGCTTCATATTGTGCGGTTGTTGATAGACAAAGAGGTGGTCACTGCCAGGTTGAGTTCCTCCACTTAGGTCTCGTTTGTGCATTTGTGGATTTCCATACCTTTGGTTGTCTTCTGAGAAGAACTCTCTCTTTGAGTGTGGGCGTCCGGCATCTATCATAGGACACCAACACTCCCCAGTGCTTGAGCCAAATTCGGAGCCAACGCCGGTATCGTAGGTGATGCAATGACACTTATTGATATAACATTTGTTCCCCGCTGGGTCAGGAAGAAAGCAATTTCCCTTCACTAATTCTAGCCCTCGGCGAGCCAAATAAATGCGATTCTGGGCTTCCGTCGTGTCCTGAGAGGGGCTTTTGCCGTAACGCAAGTGAGGCTCATGTGGGTCAACAGTGTTCTGGTCGTATGGATCTTGTGGAAGGGTGTCATAGGGGAACGTGGGCAGGTCGTCTTGACCTTCATATAGATTTCTGGTTACTAGTCTTTGAGCATGATAGTCCTCCGGAATATTTTGCTGGCCGCGGCGAAAATGTCGGCTTGTCGTTAGCTGCTGGGAAGGTCCAGGGAGAAAACTAGTGCCATGTTCTTCGTGCTTTATTCCAAGCCGGACGACTTGTGGTTTCTTCTTCTTTGCAACGAGACCAGGCTCATGATCAGTGCTCTCGTGGTCTGCAGGCAGATTCTCAGTCGATTCCCGTCTCTCGATGAGGGTTGGCTTGCCAATAGCCGTGGACGAGTTAAGCTCATCGAGCGGTGGTAGGTGTATAGCATCTACAGCGGTGTAGAAAATTAGGACGATGGTAAGAAGTAGAAGGAAACGGCCCGAGGAGCTGAGAGCAAAACATTTGAGAGCCATGTTCGCCAAGCTGTGAAGTGAAGGTGAGCAGCTCTGAGGTAAAGTAGCCTTTGAAAGAACAGCGGAACTTATTGGTATTCCGATGAGTGCATGAGAAGAAGTAGAGGGCAGAGCAGAGGGAGAGAAGGAGACTTAGGCTGGAGGTACGGGACAGAGAGTGTAGGGCGTCCTAGAGGCTGCTAGCTCTGAGAGCACGATCCTTCCGCTCTGGGCGTATCACGGTATCAGGATGTTTTCTTACCCTTTTACATAGCAGGTACATTCTGGAAGCCAATAGTTGGTCATTCTGTACTCTTCAAACATCAACGTAGTCTAGGACTTGACTGCAATCATGAGGTCTTGCGTTGGAGATTCCCAGTCTCTATATAACTCCTGTCGATACCTGTCCACATCTTGATATCCACTTTGAAATACACCTGAGCACAGAGCCTGCATCAGGTAACTGCATACACTCATGCCCACCGCCAGGTCCTAAAATAAAGATTCTGCAGTCATACATGAGTCCGCCACCGCACCGTGTATAGATAAGGTGTATAATGATAAACAATCAATAAAGTTTTATAGTCATTCGGCCTGTGATTTAGCTAAATGCACGCGACCTAGACGGGAGGAATGTATTGCATTCCTTTCCTAGATCCTCTGCATTGGCCGGGCATTCGACTTGTCATGCTGAAGTTGATTTTGCTGATATAGCCCTCGTTTGGCTGATGCCCAGCTGGGTAGTTAATTTAAGATGGTGACCGGGTGAACCAGTCAGCAGGTCCGTCCTGCCCTGTTCCGAGGCGATATCACCGGCTTTTGGTGGTTGAAGAGCATCTCTGGAATAATATTACTGTAAGTTTCAGTTTGGTGGGCATTAGCTAGCAAGATTGGCAGCGTTACTGCCACCTAGGATTCATATACACCGCCGCAGAGTAGATTCACAGTCGGGTACGAATGGATGATACCTATAGGTCCTATGTATGTCATGTAGGCAGATATTTACCTAAGCTTAAGGTTGGACCATGTTTCTAAGTACCTAGCCTCGTGACCATGAGGCTTGATATGCTGAGGGCCCCTATCAAGGGCCCGACTATCAGATGTAAAATAGAACATCTAAAGGAATCGGGCTTGGCATGACTTTCAATGTTGTATAAATACCCCACACCCCCATCCCACATCCCACACCCCACACCCCACACCCCACACCTCCTGCTCCTTCGTCCATCACAATAACACCACAATACCATCAACACATCTTTTAGTACCTGATACCGTCACTTCAAGCAAAATCTCTCAAGCTCAACTCCTTCATACCTCTTCCTCACTCCCGTCTTACTTCTACAGGTGATAATAAAATGGCTCCAATCGTCAGTCGTATCCAAAAAGCTTCACTTTTTACTCTGGCTCTGGCTGTTTTGGCTGTCAATGGCAAGACTACGGACGAAATTTGTGCCGCAAACAAAACTTGCGTTCCGACTCCTACGACAACCCTTCCCGAGCCTCCCCAATGGGGTCTTCACCAGCATTGCGAGTATCCTCGCTTGACAATGTGCAATGCAGATACCTCCACCGGCTTCATTGAAGATGAAATTCGTGCTTATTATGACAGTTGGAGCAAAAACGACCCCAGACGTCAATTTGTCGAAATTGAATTCCTCAATCCCGAGCTTGACGCCAAAGCTCCTGATTATGAGGAGTATAGTCGGAAGATCGCACTATGGGCAGGCAGCTTTGCGGACATTTTGTATGACCTTTTCGAGAAGGAAGAAGCCTGGAGAGAGGCCAACCCGGACTATGTAAAGATTTACCCAACCTTGGATCCGATTTACTACTTGCCGGACGAGGATCCGAGGAACGCGTTCATTCCGGGAATCTGCTGTAATTTTCCCTAACCAGACTAATTCTCTCGATCCTGAAGTGAACGTCTAACATCAATGGAATAGGTCCTCGGGATTGGCCCTGTAAGACTAGTCGTTTTACACAATTTGACGATACGGCCTACTGCTACAATGCTAAGTATGATCATCTCTCATCAGCTTGCTGTGACTAGAATCTAACAACTTATTTGATAGTCGTACGTCTTACCTCATGAGTGAGAAGGGCAGCGTCTTCGATAATGATGGCATCATAAACATCAAAGATTTTACCTACACTCGTAGTGACGGAGAAGTCTTCTCTTTCATACCTAAGGAACTCCAGGGTGGTCTTAATCTATCTGAGACCTCATCTCTTGATGCCTCTAAGACTACCAGACATCAACACATCACAAGTACTAGTACCACTGTGGTTTCTACCACTGAAGCTGTTCCCTTGAGTGGAAATGCCACTCAAACTTTCGGCAATACTACTACTGGGGCAGTCACGTCCACTCCAGCTGATGCAACTACATCTAGCTCGGCTGGTTCAAAACTTGACGCAATGGTTGGAGCTCTACCATTCTTTGGAATGACTGGGCTCCTGGTGTTTGCGGGACTTGGTGCCTTCATGGTTCTCTAAAGGATTCACACGGTGATGGATGAAGGTTTGACGATATAGTAAAACATCTGCTTCTCTATTACATACCGCTTGTTAATCCTTTCATCTATGTACGATGCTTTTTGTATTCATTTCCTACATTTGTGTCGTGGCCGAATCTCTTTCTAAGATCTTTCTTTCCTTATGGGTGGGGGGTCCAGTTCACTTTATGTTCATAAATACACTTCTACCACGCAAACTTCTGTGTCTTGTAGGAAGTAAATTTACTGAATGGTTGAGTTGGAAGAGCTTGGTGATCCTTCTTTGGCATCTTGTGATGACGGGACAAGCAAACATGACAGGAAATGTGTAAACATTGAAGAGTTTGTTTGTTTCGTAGAGTCTGACGAACGAGGGGGGTTCTTACCTAGTACCTACGTTTAACTTTGGTCTTTGAACGACGAAATAATGGCTTTTAATCAAAATGAACAGCTAGCTTGCCAGACGAAAGAATGTATTTGGCCTGTGAGCGTACAGTATGTGCATTCTGGTTGTGGACGTGGCATCTTGTGGTTCTGGTGCCTGTGTTGTATGAGTTTTGTGTAAGTACTTCACTCTCGAAAGGGACGCACGCTGCTACACTGCTATCAATGGTCATCCTTCCTGTACGGTTTCTAGTATTCTTTTTCCTACAATTTACTTTGGTTCGGCTAAATTCTGAGCGATCAAACCGACGATACCAACCTTAACGTCACCTACATGTTCCTTCTCGGACAAACCGAACCGACATAACTACATACTACCGTACCTCTGATCAGGTGGCTCGTGTGAGACTGGGTGTAGCCTTGCTCGTGCAATTGAAGCCTTGCTTGGAGGATAGCAGCTGCCACAATAAATAACTGACGCTGCAGGTTGCTTCCTTCGTCCACATTGCACGAAATTCCTGGCCTCATCCTTGTAAGTAGTTTATGGGTTTCGGTGCGCATGAGGTATCTGAGGCGAACCTTACCTACAGAGTGAACTGACATCAACTAGGGGATAAAAGATTAGGACGATACATCGGAGAGGGCTATGAAAGGGGATGTTCCAATAAGGCATTGCCATCTACCCATACGTCAGGCTTGAAGGTGAACACCAAAAAAAAAAAAAAAAGGAAAACGCAATTTAAA